CATATGCAGATAACCCATAAGAAATCACCTTTCAAAAATAATGGTGAGTTGTTTTTTCAATAGCAAACACAATTTTTTCTTAATTATTACAATATCTCATTCCTTTTTTTCATAGTAAATATATATAATGGATTTTGTATCGTAAGGAAGAATAACCATTAAGTCAACCACGTGTTGCTCTGTAAATAGAGTTTATTCTATAGCTTACATTATATTTACAACCTAATTACACGGCTATTCGCCCTCTCCTTACCTGTAAATAGAGAAACGACAATTAAGGTTTCTACTTCAATGGTCACTTCTCTCTTTACCACTTTCTATCAATAGTTTATCTATCAATCTGCGATTTCTATCTATCTATCTGTCGTGGCAAAGCTTTTCTCCTCTGTCTCGTGCTTAGCCTAACCTTTCTCTATATGCTCAGTCAAGCCCGATAATCCGCCTTACCGACGCTCCTAAAGCGCGGTAAGATCTGAATTAAAGAAATACATTTTCTTTATATCCCCCCCCCCCTTAAGGAAGACAATAGTTTACGTGCATGTGATCAGTATTCTCTACTACTATAACTACATTCTTCTATTATAGATGTACTATATGCTGTATTTTCTTCGTAGTTGATTGCTTCTGCAGGAAATATCTTCGTTATGTGGAAAAGATTGGATTCCTCTTTGTTGTGTCCAGTATCTATTCTGTATATTGACTTCGATATCTTTTCGGCAATTTTGTATAGTCCGGTTTTTAATTCGTCCAAGTTTTTTCTGTTTAATTTGTTTCCGTTTCCAACATATACCATGTCTCCTACTTCAAATTTGTAATGTAATCTATCTTCATTGAATAATTTTTTGTTGTATTCATGAGATTTTATAGTGTTTTTAAGAGCTGTTTCTCGATCTTGTATCCAGTGATGTTCTGTGACATTTTGTTTCAGTTCCATTGGTAGTGTTGTGGTGTCTGTACCGTCTAGTAGGTATTTTGGTGCAAATCCCGTGACCGTGTGTTTGGTTTCATTATATTTTTGTACGCATTGTTGTGCTATTGTTGTCCATGCTCTTTTCTTTTGGTTTTCATTTATTGCACATCTGATTTTGTTTACTAATGTTTGGTTTAGCCTTTCATTTAGGCCATTTGAAAAAGGTGAATCTACTGCTGTAAAAATTAGAGTAATGCCTTCATCCATTAAAAATTTTTTGAATTTTTTTGAATTGATTTTTGGATATTGATCTGCCAGGATTGTATTTATTTTGTCCACCTCTGAAGTGCTTTTTACCAATTTGATAAAATTAGTAGCATCTTGAGTTTTTGATGTTATTATGTAAGCGTACCTAGTGAAGTGGTCCACCAATAAATGTAGGTATTTTTTTGTTGATCGCGCTCCTCCAAAACCTCCAATTGTATCTATCAAGGTTATTTCAAATGGTTTCTTCGCTGGTCTCAATTGGGACATGAAGCTATATTTAGCTTGTCCTCTTGATTTGTTCTTTATGCATATTGCGCAGTTTTTGCATGTTTGTTTTATGTTTTTTGTTAAGTTCTTTGCGGTATAGAATGGGCTAATTTTTTTTACCATTTGGTTTATTTCTAAATGACACATTTTCGTATGTAATTTTTTTATAAGCTCTATACTGAATGGTTCTGATAAAATTATCTTCTCTTTTTTATTTATTTTCTTATAATGTACATTTTGTTTTGTGATTAATTTCCCTCTGTTTTTATGTATTTCTTCGTTCTTGTCTTGATCTAACATAATATCTTTTAGATCTATTAGATTGACTACTTGTAGTCTCTTTTCATTATTGGTATCTGATTCTAGTACTGGGTTTCGACTTAGAGCGTCAGCTTCTAGGTTATTTTCTCCTGGATTGTATATTATTTGGAAATCGTATTGTGATAGGAAATAAGTTAGTTCCCCTAGCTCCTCATCTGTCCTGGATTTTATGTTTAAATTCTTCAATGGTTTGTGGTCGCAGTATACTTTAAATGATTTTCCAATTAGCCAGAAATGCCAGTATTTTATGGCTTTTTTTATCGCTAAACATTCCAGATATATTGCTTTTTTTCGTTTTTGGAGTTCGTTTAATTTTTTTGAAAAATAAGCCACTGGTTTCTCTTCACCCTTATCTTAAGTTTGTTTTAAAACTGCTTCAATTCCTTGTAACGATGCATCTGTGTAGATTTTTATTGGACGTTTGTGATCGAATATTTCTAAAATTGGTTTGGAACATAATAGGTTTTTAACCTTATCAAATGATTTTTGGCATTCTTTTGACCACATGAATTCTTGGTTTTTTCTTAGTAACTTGTACAGAGGGTCTAGTATTATTGTTCTATTCGGAATGTACTTATGGTAGAAGTTTATCTTTCCTAAAAACTGTCTAATATTTTGTTTTGTTTTTGGAGTAAGGAAGTTCTTAATTGATATCAAATTATCATTTAATGGGCTGACCGTGTTGTTTATAATTATGTGTCCTAGATATTTTACTGATTTTGAAGCGAACTTACATTTTATGAATTTTAGTCTAAAACCTTCTTTTGATAATGCTTCCAATACTAGCGTTAAATGTTTAATGTGTTCAGCAAAATTTTTAGAGAATATGAGTATATCATCTATAAAACTTACTGCGAATTCTGTTAGGTTGTGCTTTCTTAAAATATTGCTTATTATCCTTTGGAATATTGCCGGCGAGGTTTTTAGACTGAAAGGGAGGCACGTCCATTGGTAGTGTCCATTTTGTGTTATGAATCCGGTTTTCTTCCTGTCTTCAATTCGTAATGGAATGCACCAAAATGCGGAATTTATATCTAATGTTGAAAACTTTGAGCAGTCTGTTGTTTGTATTATTAGGTCGTCGATCAGAGGAAACGGTTGGGCTTGTGGTACTACAATTTTGTTTAAATCTCTAAAGTCTATGCATAACCTTGATTTCTTGTTTTCATCTCTCTTGAATGCGAGAATTACAGGGGCCGCAAATGGACTGTATGAATCCTCTATTAGATGTTCCTGTAAAAGTTTTGAAATTTGCTCTTCTATTTCTTTCTTGTCCTCAATGCCACATTTGTATGGTCTTTTGCTGCAATATTTATCGACCAATAGGTCGATATGGGCTTCGTGATCTTTCACCGTACCTACGTCGTATTTGTCCTTTGCGAATATTGATCTGTAGTTATTTATTAATATTTCTAATTCGTCTCTTTGCTGAGAGTTTAGATGATCATCTATTTTTATTTCACAATCTATCTCATTTATATGCTCGTTAAAATTTAGTAAGTTTGCACCAATATTATCTTCTTCTTTTCCTAAAGCTCTTTTTTCTTTTTGTAAATTTGGTATAGCTTGTGTGATTTTCAGGTCTTCATTTTGTATTAGTTTAAACTGTTCTATTATATCTAGTCCTATTAGAAAGTCATAACTAAAGTTTTCCTCGTCTATCACGTGTACATACATTTCTTTTTCAATTTCGAAAATTTTGATTTTTATAGCTATCATTCCTTTAGTTTTTTTCACACCATTAATTGTTTGTAATTCAGTATTGCTATAGTTTTTTTCCTCACTCTTTAATTTCGTTATTTTTGAATTTATCAAAGAGACATTTAAACCAGAGTCGTATATCCCCTTTATTTTCAATGTGTCATTGAGTACTAGTTCGACTTTAATTAATGGTGTGCTTATTCGTTTTTTTGCTGGGATTCGCTAATCAGCTCTGCCTCTATTACGGAATTATTTACCTGTGTATTTGGGTGTCCTCTTTCGTTGTTCTTCTCTTTTGATTTGAACCAACATGTATCTTCCGAGTGATACCGATCTCCTTTATTTAGTTGCTTACAGATTTTGCATGGTTGTTTCGAATTAGTTTTTTCTTTGTATCTAAAACTTGTATCTTTTTCTTTTTTGAGGTTATTTCTTTTTCTCAAATATTCATGTTTATTTAGTTCATTGAACAAGTCTTCGATTTCCTTTAAACTCTCTCTTTCAATTTTGTGTAATATGTAATTTGGTAGGCCCGCTGCGATTAAATCGATTAGGGTTCCCGTATCTATTGATTTTCTTATCTCTAACAAGAGTCTTTCCTTTTTTATGGCATAATCTAACAAGGAACCTTCAATGTATTTAAATAATAGTGCATATGTAATTAGGTTCCATCCCTTATTTACATAAGTTTCACAACATTTGTTTTTCCATGTATTCCAGTCCGCGTTAATTGTAATTTTTAACATCATGGAACTATACCAATCCAGGCTGTTCTTGTCTAATAAATGTCTGAGTGTTTCAATTTTTTTTCTATCTTCTGTGATGCCAAATCGTTTACATTCTTCTTCAAAGGTATCAATCCACTGGTTCGCATTAGCATTCTTAGTTGTATGTTTTTTAATGGTGAATTTTTCTGAAATTTTTTTCAGATTTTGATGTTTGTTAGAGTCTTTTTCGACCAGTTTCATTAATATTTGTTTCAGAGTTTCATCCGCAGTCGTTTCTGTCGTATCTGTTTTCGTATCTGTAACTTCTAAAAAGTAATCAGAAAATTGCATGTTCCCCGATTCGTCTATATGGGTGTTTTCCAACAAGTTACACAGATGACACAGTATGACACTGTGTTCAACACGAACTATTCCAACAGTGACACCATGTTACATTGCTCGACACAATAAAAAGCTAAGTACAACATAGACATAGGAATATAGGGACCGAGCATATCGTTGCGGGGGGGAAGCTACTGCGGGACGGTGCGACGAGGTAAAGTGTGCCTAAATTTGATTGGCTATTAGTTTGCGCAAGCGCGATGTAAGTATCGTGCGACTTCCAGTGTGCATGGACATAGGAATAGTAGGGTCGGAGTGTAACGTCGCGAGAGGAAAATCACTGAAAGAAGGGGACGAGGTAAACTGTGCATATTTTTGATTGGCTACTATTTGACGCAAGTGCAATTGGTCATTATTCGACGCAAAAATATTATGCAATTTGGGCAGATATAATGAGCATTTGAAGTTATATCAAGAAAAAACATTAATTAAAATTGTTATTTTAAATATATTTTGTGAATATAAAAAATGGTGCAGTGTTTTGTACAGTCTTGTAAAAATAGATCCGACTATCAAAATTGGAAACAAAGTAATAGCAGAAATAATGTAAAAATAACATTTCACAGGTATTGAAATTATTTATTCATATTAAAGTTAATATTATATGTTTAAAATAATATTATATATTTTATTTTAAGAGTATAAGTTGTTAAAAATATTGTTTTTTTTTCTTAGTTTTCCCAAAGATCCTAAAACTCGTACATTGTGGTTAGATATTTTGGAAATAAATTCATCATCTATCCCAAGTACAGCTCGTATTTGCTCTGTCCACTTTGAAGAGAAATTCTTTGACAGAACATGTTTGATAACTCGACTTAGACGAAATGCATTACCTAGTGTATAATAACAACAGCATACGTATAACGATAACCAATCAGATTCAGGCACAGTATCATGGCGGACCCCCCCCGCATTTTGGCTTCACTCCCCTCGTCTATCAACCAAGTTTACGCTCCGTCCCTATATTCCTATGTCCATGAAATACAAGCGTATAAAATGTCCCAGTGTTACCAACATTTTAAGAAATCTTATAATTTTAAATGATGGTAATACTTTTGATCATAACCTATAAATGTAATAATACAACGATACAAGAGAGCGAGAGTACAAGATTGCAAATTGTGAAGCTCTATCTCTATAGATTTAATCTCAATGGATCATATTTTGGAAGTTAATGGTAAAATAAAACATTAAAAAATACAATAAAAAATATGCAATACAAATTTTATTACTTATTATTATCAATAAAACATTTGTTACATATTTTATTATATTTTTCAGAATTCACGTGCAAACATTGTAACAACGCAATTGCTTCATTGGATCATTTTGCTAACATTACTGCTTATTGAAGTATCACTATCACTACTTATCTCAGCAGTTTCAGTCAAAGTAAATATAACCTTACGATTCATTATCTGCAATTCACATAAAAGTAAAATTAAAACAAAATTTAATCAAAAGATATCCTCATTCAAAATTTGGTTAACTATAAAAATTAATTACAATAATTTTTTGTTATTACAATAATGGGTGTTTACGATAATTCAAGTTCGAGTTAGTTTCACTAGGACCGAAAAATGAGATAGACATAACCATCTAGAACCTTTATGATTCATGACAACTCGACGCTGTCTTGTATTGCTTGAGTTAAATTCATTGAATTTGTTGAGTTTATTGAGCAAATTTTATTGTAATAGAAAATGTCAACTGCAAATCAATCTATGAAAGAAACAAATAATGTTGGTATGTATGTTGGTATACCTCTTTAATAAATTAATAATAATATAATTAATAATAATAATAAATGACATTTTTCTATTACAATAAAATTTGCTCAATAAACTCAATAAATTCAATGAATATAAC